TTTTATTGAGTCCCAAAAATCATAAACCTTCAAGGCATCACTCGTGTTTGTCATAGCAACATCTTTCGGAAATACCTTACGGTATGCCAAAGTAATGTTGCTCCTCATTTCTATTAGGTCAGAAAACCGAAGTTCCCTTCAAAAACCTCTTTTTGAAACATACTTTCAAAACTTCAGACAGAAGCCTCGTGTACAATTGTAAATTGTTGGCATAATACAGACCAAGCGAGAGAAGGCGGTAAACAGACAAACGGCGGTAACAATCTTAGATGCAACTGAAAATGTTTACGTATAATATTTCTATGCGACTGATTGCTTATATGCATGCATGTGCATGTAAGTATGTGTGTAGGTATGTGTACGCAACTTGATAATTCCAGCGCTGCGAAATCAATATCCTTAGAATATCTGCGTTGAACTACGCACGTCGTTGTGAAAGTTAAATCAGCTTAGATCACATTTTGTCCCTTGGCGTTTTCTTTACACGCGTTTTTTTGCATCTGTGCAATGCAAGAATGCGTATTGTCGATCGTCTGTCCGTATGTCTCTATTTTCATCTGTGCCTATTTTTCATCTTGAGACCCACAAAAGCTACAACGTTGAAACTTTGGAAACTTAACCTGCATGCATATATGGCTTCTATCAGCGAAATGGAAGTTGTTGCCGGCATGGTTCGCACTTGCGGGTCCATGAAAGTTTGGCGAACAAATTACTAACTCGGAAACCTAAAAGGCTAGAAAGCTAAAATTTTAAGGGAGTGTTCTCTGTTCATATAGGAATGAACGAATTCAAACCCAGCGCACAAATGTGGATTGTTTCCACTTATGGGCATGTGGAAGTTTTTGGCAGGGAAGTTGTTAACTCGCTACTCAGAAAAGTTAGAAGGCTGAAATTTTAAAGGAATGTTTTCCAACAGATGCGGCAGCCAGTGTGAATTTCTTTAGCTAGAAACATCTGCTGAGAAAAACACTGCCGTAAGAGAGAAAAATTTGCGGCGAACTGCATAAAAAAGCATCTTCGCACCAACAGTCGGTGCACTGACTTATTATTAATAGTCATTCAGGAAACAGCTGCTTCCCAGTCTACAGGAGTTTTGCACAGTTTAACCGAGGCTGGGGTGCACAGGTCCACCAGTGCGATCATGTGTTTTTGCATCGAACTTAAACTCACGCTGGAACGCTCCGGGCGGGCCCGTGCCATCATGCGTTTTTGCACTGGACTTTAATTACTCAGATCATTAATTGTATGAATGACTGTTGATTTAAACCTACCTTTTGCGGTCACTAGCATAAATCACCATAAATTTTGCAAAGTAATGTGTAATTTCCATTATACATTTAACAGTCGTTCTTTAAAAGTAACCTAGTTGTTCAGTGAGAAATTTTTTCGTCAAGACTTTTAATTGCTCGTGCATAGGAACCACGCATACTTCAAGGCTGAATTTGAAATACTTCAGTTGTACTTGGACAGGGAACTTCCCCCTAAAACTCCAACTTTCTAGCTTTTCTGGTCCCCGAATTAAAATTTTCCAGCAGAAACTTTCTTACGTCCTTACGTGAGTGTCACGCATAGCTTGGGGCTGAACTTGAAATATTTGTGTTGTACTTGGACAGAGAACATTTCCTTAAAATTTCAACTTTCCAGCTTTTTTTGTTACCGAGTTAGCAATTTTCCTAGCAAAACCTTCACGCACCAGTACTTGGGTACTTCTCGTGCTTGGAAAGCTGATTTTGACACTTTTAAATTGCACGTAGACAGGGGACATATGCCTGAAATTTCAGCCTTCTAGCTTTTTTGGTTGCCGAGTTAGTAATTTTCCTGCAGAAACTTTCATACGTCCTTATGTGAGTACCATACATAGATTGGGGCTGAATTTGAAGTATTTAAGTTGCAGTTGGATAGGGAACATCCCTCCAAAATTCCAGCCTTCTAGCTTTCCAGGTATCCGAGTCAGCAATTTCCCTCCTAAAACTTTCATATGCCCTTACTTGAGTACCACGCATACCTGGAGGCTGAATTTGAAATCTTTAGCTAGTACGTGCACAACGAACATCCCTACAAAGTTTCAGCCCCTCAGCTCACGTAGTTCCCATGATCGCTTTTCCGCCAAAAAATTTGTATATTTTTTTAAAGCATCCGTACACGGCACCCAGACGACCGCGAGAAATGAAATTAAAATGGGGGG